TGTGTGTTATAGAAGTCCTATATTTGTGGACTAGGAGGCTTTTCTGGATCATCTGTATACCTGTCAGAAGTTGAATCATATTGCTATGCAGGTATAAGAAGTACAGATGCAAGGATTATTCCCACCCCCTTGATACACAGGGTAGACAGGGATGGGCAGCTTGGACATTGGCTACCCAAAATGGGGGCTACAAAGGCAAGAAGTGACTGGCTTACAAGCTTTCAACAGGGAGAGTAGATCCAGAGGGCACGGAGGAAGGTAGAATCCCCACTGAGTAGTATCCAATCTGTCTGGGTGGGGCTGATGAAAGGAGATGGGGATAGCACTCATGTGGCACAATTGTCAATAATTGCTATCAGGACTGACTGGGAGGGATGGAAATGTAAATGTAGATGTTTTGTAGCAAAACGAGGGGAGTGATTGACATTGCAATCCAGGAATGGAGGTCCCTGGGACCATCAAGGGAGAAGAGCAGGGTGTGGGACCCTCCCCACAGAAACAGTGACGCCAGTGATGGAGGCAGAGATGATGATGTGTAGAGATGGAGCAGCTGGGGACTCTAGACCCAGAGAGGGAGAGGTACTGTGTGCTGATGACTAGGGGGCTGGCTTACAGAGTATGCCCTTTGATTGGTTGATGATGCATGGAGGGAATTGTAACCATGGCAATGAAATGATAGGATGAATGTAAAGCTAACTTTTTCTCCCATGTAAACTATCACATAATTCACAAAAAAACATTAAAAAAAGAAGTACAGATGCAGCGATGAATGCATCACTTTTATGCAGTAATTGCTGGTAGAACCACCTGGTTGCAGATGTATGTAATCTCGTCTACTTTCTTTGATAGATTACTTCTGAAGAAAAGCAGGGAAAAGTCTTCATTTTTCTAATGTGAAACTGATAATCCTAATAGAATCCTAATAATAATCCTCCTAACCTCTGTAATAGGAAGTGTGGTGGCTCTATAGGGTAAGCACAGACTGTGAACTACAAGGTCTGCAGTTCAAACCCACCAGCCACTCCTGGGAAACCTTATATAGGGTCTTTGAGTCAGAACTGATGGTTCTTAGTAACAACAATCTCTTTAACAAAGATTATTTTTGCCATATGACCAATAGCTATACCTAGTGAATTTCAAACCCATGTACTCAGGTTCTTTTAATTAATAAAATTCATAGGCTCTGGAATGAGTCTTGGTATGTGAAAAAGACTACACTTCCAAAAGTTCTTAGCATTTAAAAAAGCAATTTGCTAGTTGCAGTGACTTTGACAAAAATTAGGGGAAATGAGACTGAAATTCCTTGGTTTCTTTGAAAATTAAGGGAATGAAAATGGTTGGAAATGATCACTTTTTCATTGTAGCGAATCAGGTCTTGTGTGTGATGTTAGCATAATGTTCTCAAGGTTCATCTGTTGTGGTGTGTGCTAATATTTCATTCCATTTTATAGCTAAATAACATTGCATTGTACAGGCACACCACATTGTGTTTATGCATTCGCTAGTTGATGGACATTTGGGTGCTTTCCTGTTTTTGGTTATTATGAATAGTGCTGATATGAACATTCATGTACAAAAGACCACTTTTGGTATGATTCCATATGTATGAAATGTCCAGAATAGGCAAATGAGTAGAGACCGGAAGTAGTGGTTGCCACGGGCTGGCGAGCAGAGTAGTAGGAAGTGACTGTGGATAGGTATGGAGATTCCTCTTGAGGTGATGAAAATGGTCTAAAATTAGATAGTGTCACATGATGGTTGCACAGCTCTGTGACTATACTAAAGACCCCTGGATTGTATACTTTAAGGGGTTGAATTTTTATGGTGTGTGATTTATGTTTCAATAAACCTGTTAGTTTTGGTGTGACATTGTAGCAGAGCCACTGAACTGCTAAGGTTGAACAAGGTTGGTGATTCTAACCCACCAGTCACTCCTTGGAAACCCTATACAGGATCGCTATGAATCAGAATCAACTCCATGGCACGTAACAACAACAAAGCTGTTATTTAAAGAACAGGGAGAAGGAGTTCATAATATTTGTTCATCACATAGTGCAAGCAGGCACAATGTTTTATGCTCCTCATAAGGAGAAGCATTGTACCTGAAGGGCTTTTAATCGATTATTCTATGATCATCATTTATGATTAGAATTTGACTCTCAAATTCTTCAAAGAACTGTTTCGAAAGGTGGTGAATACAATGGAAAGAAGGAGACATAGCTCAAAGGTAGCAGAATTGTGTTGATACAGGAAATGCAATGAAATTAACAACAATAACAAAATTCAGGCTCGGTGAGGAATCCAATTTTTCCCCCCTCCCCTCAAAGGAAGTTTTACAATTTAGAAACAGGAAAGGTTCAAGAGAGAAGTTTATTTGGAATTTACATACACTCCTCTGCTCCCAGAGGTTTGATTGCCAAGTAATGTAATTTTCCAGAACGTTACCTATGAATTGATTAGGTTGTCTATAGCTTGTAATTAATATGCCTCATGGTAAAGACAGCAGTAGTGATGCTTTTAATATTCTAGTGCTCATTGGATTTCAGTTTTGGAGGCAATTTTTAGCTCCTCTGAGTAAAACATTTGTATTCAATTACAGAGACTGATCAAAAAGCTTTTTCCCCTTTCTAGTCACTACAAAGTATTAACAGTATTTTCTAATGGCTACTTTTGGTAGGGAGCAAAAATGATAGCTGCCGAGAGTTGAAACTCTCAACACTGTCTCCTTCTGGAAGTTGTTTATTGGGTTTCGCTCACAGTTCTCACTTCTGAAGATACAACTTTGCCATCCACTACTTCTTCCACGATGGTCTTAATTGTCCTGGATTTCTTGGGATCTGATTTCAGATTTAAACATTGAATGTTAATTCAGACAAGACTGCTGGCTTATGATGCTCATTTAAAAATTATTACTATGTTGTTCTTTTAGAAAAGCAGTGGAATCCATTTTCTTAATTCTAAATTTTGTACTTTTAGGAAAACCGTGGAATCCACTCTATCATAAATCATTTTAAATCCATTTTGTAGATAAATGCAGAAAATATACTTTTCCTACCATCTGTAAAATTCCCTTCTATCTCTGCCCCCCAAAGAAATATCTAATATTGTACTAAGCAAAATTCACATTTTAATTTCATTTTTTCAAAGTATCTCAGGATGTCTCAGGACAGAAACAAGCCAGGCATGGAAGGCAACTGCCATGGGAGTGTGACAAGTCTCCCACACATAGGACTCCTTTATGAGATGGACATGCCTTTCAGAATCTCTAGCATTATATCAAAGGGGTTTTGGTGGTACATCGGACTGCCAACTGTAAGGTCAGCAGCTCAAACTCACCAGACACTCCAAGGGAGACAAATGAGGCTGTCTGCTCCTATAAAGATTTAGTCTTTACCGTAAGGAGCAGTTCTCCTCTGTTCTGTGGATTGCCATGAATCAGAACCGACTTGGTGGCAGTGGTTTTTGTTGTTGTTGTTGTTGTTTTGTGGTGTAGTGTCATGTCAAGGGAGCCTGGTGGTTCCATGGTTAAGTGCTAGGCTGCTAACCATAAGGCGAGTGGCTCCAAGTGTTGTCATTTCCTGCTGTCAAGCACAAGCTACCAGTCACTCATGGGAGAGAGTAGTTCTGCTCTACCCTATAGGGTTACTAGGAGTTGGAACCACTTGGCAGCAGTGGGTTTGGTATTTGGAGTATCATATCCACTTGAGAAGTGGTCTCACTTCACTTTTCACCCATCATTACAGGGAAGCGACACAGGAAAGTAAAAACCCTTACCTTTCTCGACCAGGATGCTAGAAAAGAAACAGAAACAGTGTTAGGCCTGGGTTTTTTGTGTGTTTGTTTTGTTTTGTTAAAAATTTTTCTCTTTCAAAGCCATTAAGGTCTGAGTGATGCGTGTTTTAGTGTTGTTGAATTTCTTTCCTTTTTTACAATGCTAGTTCCTGGTGTGGTGCTGTAGGATAAACACCGGACCGCAAGGTCGGTTTGAACTGCAAGGTTGGTGGTTCAAATTCACCAGCCACTCCTCGGAAACCCTATTCAGGGTTGCTGTGAGTCGGAACTGACTCGAAGGCACTTAACGACAACAATTATGTCATACTTGAGTTAAACTTTTAAATTTGAAAATACATAGCTTCAAAACAGGTCCAGTTAACATATGTTAAAAGTTTTGGTAATGAATATAACAGAATTACAGTGTAAGTTTAAGTCTGGTGTTTTCTTCTTGACTCTGGGTCTATGAAGACCTTTGCTGCTGGAATGCTGTCGAGTCTCAAGTGAGCTCCCAGGAATCTCTGTGACTTAGTGTTTGGCTCATGAGTTCTCAATCAAGCACCTTTTTAAAAAAACTCTTGATTGAGAACTCATGAGCCAAACACTAAGTCACAGAGATTCCTGGGTGCTCATTATAAAAGTTAAAATCACAATAATGTGTATTATATGGATAACCATCTTGGTGCTGTCAGATAAGCACTGGACTGCTAACTGCAGCGTCAGCGGTTCAAACCCACCAGCTGCTTCTTCAAAACACTATGATTCAGAACCAACTCGATGGCAAACAACAACCACAAAAGCAACAGCAACTCAGTTCAAAGGCTGTACTGGGTAGTTTTACAGTGTGCATACCTTTTGGTATATTTTTATTTTGTGATTGATGAATGTGTGATTGCATTTGTATTAAGGATTGCATTGATGCTTGGTAATGAGTGACAGGATTTAATGTGTGAACATTCACCTAGAACAGCATGTAGAAATGGACACATATTCCTTGGTGTTAAGAACTTACTCTCCTTCCAAAAGGCGGTGGTAAGTAGCAATTTCCTGTTCAAGCCTGGTCTTTAAGTCAAGCAGAATACTGTATTCCTGGCTCTGGTGGTCTGCATCAGCCCGCATCTGCATCAGCTGGGCCTCGAGAGAATTTAACTGTTCCTGGATGTTGGCCAATTGACTACTGTAACGAGCATTGGTCTCCTCTAACGTGCACTCCAAAGATTCTTTCTATAAACAGAAGAAAGATGACATTTCTTAGTTGAGGACTTGAGATGTGGCTCAGTCTTAATTTCCCTTGAGAATAATCTCTGAAGCTAGCCATTGTAGACATTATGTGTACTTCTAGCGTTATCTCCCACTCTTTCCTTCTAGGCAACTTCATCCTTAGACTGGGATCACTAGTTCCTTGTTGTTTTTTTTAACCTTTGGTTGTGTCCACTGTTCTCACTCTTTATTCTCAAGTATTTGCCCTGCCTCTCTGTGACACGTGTTATCTCTCTGTCCTTATTTCAGGTTTGATCATGTGATTTTATGATACCCTCCATATAGAAACATTAAAATTCCTCATCTCATTGATAGGTGTGTCCATGTGACATTTTATTTTGGCCAATAAAATGCAGATGGCAGCTACGAAGGCCTTTTCTGAGAAGAAGCTTTAAGAGCCATTATGTGGTTCAGACATTGCTCTTTTCTTTCTGTTCCAACACTGGCATGTCCAGATAGAGGTTACTCCCTGTCCCTGCAATGACAGTATCATGAAGCTGAGCTGCAGCCAGCCCATGCTGCATGTGACGGTGTTGTCAGCCATTAAGATTTGGGGATGGTTTGTTATAATTTATCATAAACTGACTGATTTACTGAGCATGGTATGTCTTCCCCCTCATTCTTCAGTTTAAAATTTTTCTTTATTTTTACGATCTAGCTCAAATGCCACCTCCTTCCCTGTGAAGTCGTCTAGATCTGCTTTTTCCTCTGCGTTTCTGCAGCACAATTGCCTTTCCTCACTTTCTTTCTGCCTTTCAATGATCATCAGTTGTCTGGCCTGTTTGCCTGCTAGCTCCATGAGTGGAGAGGTTATTTCTTACAGGTCTTTCTTTGCATTTCTAGAATTTCCAACACAGGTGCTTAGGAAACACACATTGGGTTAAGAAGTAGGACAAATGCGAGTTAATTGTGCTTTACCATACTGAGATGGGACTGGAGCTCTATCTCTAGGTTCTGGTAGGTGCGTCTCAAATCCTTTATTTGAATCTCATATTCTTTTATTTCTTCAGTGCTCCCTGTGACTTGTTCTTGCAAGACTTTAGTCTAAAGTTCCAAAAATGAAAATAAAAGAAATAAGTTATCTCTTTCTGAAGAACAATTTCAGCACATTTTCGGGTTCTTCAGAATTGTGCTGTCATTACCTCTGTGTCAAAGTGGTCTCTGACTTCTTGAAGGTTCTTCTGGGCTATACCTTCATATTTCTCCCTCATTTCACTCATGATGGTGCTGAGGTTGAGGCCTGGAGTAGCATCCACTTCCACATTGACATTGTTACCCAGTTGCTTGCTCAGGACACTGACTTCCTACAAGAGTGAAAATGCCAATTACATTTCTTCTGAAGCACAGTCTTAGATGAGGTTGAACAGAAAAGACATTAAGTCTTATGATTTATTGGGAATGAGTTAAAAAGAAATACATTACTTATTATAGGCCAGGAATAGTTTGAAGTCATTTGACCCATACAAGGACCTTATGGACAGATAGGGTTCATGTCATTTCATCATCATCTCATTCATCATCATCATTACCATCACCACCACCACCACCTTCTTCTCTTCTTTATTCTTACCTGAGAAATTACCGTCATTCTCAATACCACTTCTGAATATTATCTTACCTCCTCATGCTCCTTCTTGAGGACAATCAGTTCTTTATTCAGTTCTTCGATCTGTACCTCCAAGTCTGTCTTGCCTAGGGTGAGCTCATCCAAGACCTTATTGAGTCCCAGGAGATCAGCCTCCACTGTTACTCGGAAGCTTCTCTCAGTCTCACACCTGGGAATCAGTAAGCATGCAGAGGTAACTGAGTCTTTCTGACATTACTATAGGAGCACAATCTCAATATCATGACGTTGATTTCTAGGTAGCACATGAGGAGATCAATTTCAATACTTTTAGTTCCTCTTTATACATTCAGAAAATGTGCATGGGAACCTAGGAGCCAGATAATAGGACCCATAATAGAATCTCTGTGATTTGGAGTGACTTGTGAAAGGGCAATTAGAAATAACTTTTGAAAGTCCCTGAATTAAATGTTTTAAAAGAAAAAGAATTAGCTTTGCTTATGGTGTTAGCAAAGGACTCTTGTTATTGATATTAAACAATGATTAGTTATATTTACTTAATGAATGTACATGATCAATTTATTTTTATTACTTTGTAAACATTCAAAGTGAATTATATTAAACAATCATTCATTCTTTTCTACAATCTTATATCCATTCCTTAGGAAAAAAATAGCAAGCATATATTATATACATTTACACACACACACACACACATACACACACAATAATGAATGGAGTCCTGGTGTTGCACTGCAGGATAAACACTGGATTGATAACTGGTTCAAAACTACCAGTCCCTCCTTAGAAACCCTATATACAGGGTCACTATGACTTGGAACTGAGTTGACAGCACTTAAGAACAACAGCATCGACAATGCAACGGGACACTCAGATGCTGACTTAGTCGGACTAAATCTAGTGAACTTTTGCCTTCAGATACGCTTTTCCATTTACTTCTTTGGACTCCCTATAGCATTAAAATGCCATCCTTCCAAATCACGTAGGACTTTTTAGTGCCACTGGATTGTACACATTCAGGATGAGGAAGCCCTAGTGTGGAAGAAGTTTAAGAGGAAAAGTTCTGATCCCTTGAGGTTTGATGTGACTATAAATAAAATGTCTACACATAAAATGTCTGACCAAACCATATGGTAAAACTTTGGCAAACTAGAAAGCATAAAGAGACACCCCTGGAACTTGGGTCATACATTTGTAGGTATTTGAAGGAACATAAATGTCCCACTTGGAGAATCATTGAGGGTAGACATAATAACTCTCAAGGTAACAGAAGGGTTCTTAGAAGAAGATGAATATATTCCTATGTTGTTTTGTAAAGGATGGCAATAGGTTTACCTGGTGGTTTACTTGGTAGGTCACAGGTTACTATAAAAAAGACCACTTGAGTAACCAGAGGTGGTCACTGAGAACGGAAGTAGTAACTTGAGGTACTCAGTTATATGCTGGGTGACCAAAAGCTTAGACAGTGAGAAATAGAAACCCACCTTTGAGTATTGGGTTAGACCAGCAAGCTTCTAACACTCTTGAAACTAAGATAATAAAACATTTTAATGGTAGTTCCTTTACCAATAATAATGTTGAAGATGGTGTCATGAAGGACTTTAAAAAGAATTCCTTTTAGAAAAATTTACCATTGTATTAGAAAACCTACTTCAGTCTGAAGTCCTCAGAAGCCAGTTTAGCATTGTCAATTTGCAGGACATATTGAGCATTTTCCAGTTGAGCCTGTTTAATCTGAAAAACACATGATGAAGAATGACATTTTCAACTGGATAGGAGTTTAGAATGATTGAATTTATCTTCAGATACAACCATGGTTATACCAGGATGGTAGTCACTTCAGGAATTTCCACATGAAAATATAAAGGAAGTCTAATGATATAGGCATTTAGCATAATGCAGGTCTTACAATAGAGCTCCACATCCCCAGAATTAAGTCAGTTTCCTAGTGATTTTACAAAACGCGACTTTAATTCAACTCCAGTCAATTCACCTTTATTGAGTTCTTTGCCTTTGATGTTCTTCCTGTTTAGACAAACCCTTTTAGCCTCTCTGGACCTACTCTTTCTTCATGTCTGAACGTAGATGCCATTGCTTCCAGGAAATCTTCCTCAAAAAGCGGAACTGGATGCCTTGCCTGTGTTCTTGTTGCCCTAAACAGCCCTCCTTGCTAGCACATATTCCCTGCCCTGCCCTGCATGCGACTTGCCTCTGTGCTTGCCTTAATTCTCTTTAGATCATGTTCATCACCAGATTCCTCGAGGAATATGTATTGTTGTTGTTGTTGTTGTCAAGTGCCATCAAGTCGGTTCTGACCCATAGCAACCCTGTATAGGATTTCCAAGGAGTGGCTGCTGAGTTTGAACCTCTTGACCTTGCAGTTCAAACCATTCTTGCGGTCAAGTGCTAATCCTACAGTGCCACACCATGACTCCCAGGGAATGTGTATTAAATAAGCACTGGGAATATCAAGACAGAGAAGCTCCTGATCTTAAAAAATGGTCAACTAATGGGTGAGTTCTCACAGATGCAGACAAATACATCTCCTTGTAGAAAATGTACAATGATGTGTCTTTGATGGGTTACCTTTATACACCAAGACTACCTGATACATGGAGTCCTGGTATGGCGCTATAGGATAAGCACTGGACTGCTAACTGAAAGGTCAGCAGTTCAAACCCACTAGCCACTCCTTGGAAACCCTGTAAATTGTCGCTATGAGTTGGAACCAACTGAAGGCACTTAATAACAACAACAACAAAGTAAAATCAGGAATGTCAATGATAAGACAGGTGTGGGAGAATGCTTGACTTGTTCTGAAACTTTTAGTGGGAATGTGAGAAGGATGATTATAAAGGGAAGAGAGTGGCAATTTGAATACCTTTGACTTGTATTCTCAGCATTCCTGAAACTCCAAGTACCTTTCTGTGGGATCTGAATTAAACTGCTGGTCCTACTGATTTCTAATACAACTCAAGAAAAACAGTGCTGTTAAGTACGCAGCCTCAGAACAGAGGCAGTACAAATCCTCAAAGAGGAAAGAGAAAATGAAAGGGGACATTTTTCTTGATTAGATAGACTTTAAAGCAACGCAGGTACTCTGTGTCTATCTGAAATCTTCAACAGGGAGCAAAGTCTCCAACTTTATTGCCACACATTGATAAAACAGAACTCCACCTTTCTTCGGTGGCATGGGAGCAGGTTCTGATAGGATTGCAATAAATTTGAATTGGGAGCAATATAACATTTTATGACTGTAGAGAAGTTTCTGAACTGCTTGGTGATGGTGATCAGATGATGAAACAAGGCATTTATAGACCCAGCATCATTAAGAACTTTACTCTCTCCTGTTTTCACCCTGAATCATTTTATCATTTAAATCTATGACATAGTATTCCAACACTTGTATATAGCATTCACATAAATGAAAGGAGGAAAGTCTCTGAATTGCCAGGTTTGGAGAGCTGGTGGGGACTACGGTGGGTTTTCCCTAACTGCTAGGGTCGATGAGAGAGTATAGAATTTTCACAGGGCTAGATTTCAGTTTAATTTGCTTTACAAATGACCCACCTAACGTAAGGATAAGGAGCTCTGGTAGCATAATGCTTATGAGTCGGGCAGCTAACCTCAAAGTTAGTAGTTTGAAACGACCAGCTAGTCCACAGGAGAAAGATGAGATTTTCTGCTCCCATCAAGATTTACAGCCTCAGAAACCCCATACAGAGTGGCTATGAGCCAGCACTGACTCCATGTGAGTATATGCCCTCTTGATCCATCATCTAGCTAAAGAATGGCCTAGAAAACAGGGGCAGCATTCCTCACCTGACTCTGCAGCTCTTCAATTTGTTTGTAGTAGGCACTGTAGTCCCGACTGGTGATGGGCGCATTGGCTTCATGCCATTGCCTGATGAGCATCTCAAACTTGGAGTTGGACTGCTCCAGAGACTGCACTTTTTCTAGGTAACTTGCTAGACGGTCATTTAGGCTCTGCATGACCATTTTCTCATTGCCACCAAACAGGTCTCCGCTAGTGACTTCGCCCCCATAGCTCGTCAGTTGTCTGGAGGTAGAGATACGGGTGCCGTAGCCTCCAGCCCCACCATAGACACTGGGTGTGACCCCGAAACGCTGCATGCTCCCTTTTGAATACAGGGACCCACTCATACTGAGTGCTGAGCTCTGCGAGGAGAAACTTGGGCTTCTGTGGAAGATTCTGCGAGTGGAAGAATCCATTGGAGATTCTAGGGCCGAGCACCTGTTGCTTCAGTATGGACAGAGGGAGGAGTCTGTCACAGTGGATGTTGGCTGGTGTTTTATAGAGCCCACAGGACTGACTCCTCCTCTGCTGATAAGGAATCTTAGGCTTGGCACTATACTATACCTTGCCTGGTTTTTTTTTTTTTGCACAGCAATATGGTTAATTCTATTCCAGAGACTACCACTAGACACATCTCTTAGAGGCTTTTCTCAGAAATTATTTCTTTTTTAAAAAACAGGTAACAAAAGGAAACAGGAAAATGTATTCTTTTAGCCCTTATATCGGCCTTGACAGATGATTTTTTTCCCATCTCAATATACACATAAAGAATATTTACAATCCTCATGAATGATTTAGGGATTCAAAGAGCCAGGTGGGGGTACATGATGGTCAGTTACACTGGGATAAAAGGAGCCCTGGAGGCACAATGGGTAAATTTCCAACTGTTAGCTGAAGGGTAGGTGGTCTGAGTCCATTCAGCAGCTCCACGGGAGATCAAGACCTGGCAGGCTGATTCAGTACAAAGTACAGCCAAGAATACCCTAAGCCCAGCTCTAGTCTGTCACCTGAAGTCAGCACCCTACAGCAACACCAGTGAAAGAACCATGGTTTAGTCATGTTGCTAAATTGCTTTCCAGAACTTATCACTATTTTTTTATTTTGAAAGAACTATTGACATGTTTTGTACAAGTACAAACCTCCAATATTTGCAATAAGAATGAAACACACATTTGGAGATACAGTTTGGGGATGTGAATTAAATGACTTTGGGTGCGAGGTAGACTAGATCATTTTGAAGAGACGGCCTGGCACAGTGGGAGCAGCCATGGGCTCTGCCGTAACAATTGTGAGGATGGCGCAGGACGGGGCGAAGTTTGTGCACAGGGTTGTTATGAGTCAGCACTGACTAGATGACATCTCACAACAACAACAACAATGACTAAATTGAGGCCTGGCAGCACTGTAGGGTACACACTGGACTGCTAACCCTAAGATCTGCAGTTCAAACCCACTAGCTGCTTTCAGCAACCCTACGCAAGGAGCTGTGGTAACGTAGTGGTTACGAGTTGGGTTGCTAACCTCAAGGTCAGCAGTTCAAAACTACTGTCAGGAACAGGTTAGGACCCCTGGGCCCTGGGCCTCTCTATTCTGGCTTCATATTCATGTGAGTCTTCCTTTGAGTCTTCTACTAAACAGGGATCAAGAAAGTGGGGAGGACATTTCTAGTTCAACAAGAATAGTAACACTGGGAAAAATACCCTGGAGACCAAGATAAAGATATCAGGACCTGAAATCTACTAGAAGCAGCTGACTGCAAGTAGACAACCCATGATGATAAGGCCTAGAGCTGACAACTGCAGAAGGTACTCCATTTCCAAGGAGCCTTCACACCATTATGAAAAAATGAATAAAATCATGAATATTCAACATACAACTCCTCCTAATTAATATATATTAGTCTACCCTTCAAGGAAGAGACCCCATACCTTTATAAGCCAGTGCACCCCAACCCCACAGTGTCTTCTCCACTGGCACAGCTAGACCCACTTCTCTCTCTGAAGTGGACTTTCGCTTTGACTTTATCTATGCGCCCCAGCGCTAGCAGGTCGTCTCCACTGGTGGAGACAGACTGGCTTCTCTCTTTGAAGTGGACTTTTGCTTTGACCTAATCTAATCTATGCTCCCTACTGCTACCAGGTCGTGTCCACTCATGGAGACGGACCGGCTTCTCTCTCTGAAGCGTATGTTGCTTTGCAATAAAGAGATACTAAGTGAATGCTTATTGTTCATATGTGACTGAGAAGTGGTGACTTGGTGGGACTAATTCTTTAGACCCCTGAGAGCGACAGGGACCAGGGAAAAACATGAAACTACCAGCAATTCTGCTGGAGAAAGATGACGCTTTCCGGTCCCGTAAAGATTGACAGCCTCAGACACCCTATACAGGGTAGCTATGAGTCAGAACTGACTCCACAGCACCCCACCCCCACCATACAAGGTTGCTATGAGTTGAAACTGATTTGACAGCACACAACAACAATAAATAATCACTTGAAGTTCACAGTCACCTCCTGGCTTTACATGCTGTTACTAAGAAACGTAGAGTCCTTTGCATAGTGTTTTGCACTTGGCCCGGTAAAAGGTCAGCTCCAGGTCTGCTCCGATGGCCCTGAGATAGGCTCTCCAGAAGCTATAGCGGCCTCCCCTTAGGATTCCCAATGAATTTCACTTGCAATAGCGTCCACAGATCTTCTCACAGATTCCCACACTTAGCAGGAGTCATTCCATTCATTGTAAGAGAAATGTGCTTAGTATCCTGGGGCTGTACACACCTTCCTAGGTGGGGCTAGAGATCATGGCACCCATATGTGAAGATCCAGATACCTGCTGAGTTATAAGAGGGACCTCCTGAGTGGGTATTTGATTATAGACCTGTGTAATAAAAGCTGTGAAACAGAAATTACTCATTTGCTCCTTCATTCAAAACACCTGGTGGAAGACCACACACCTCTTGGAACATTAAAGTTCTTCCTTAATCAAGTTAAATCAGAGGGATTGGAAAAGTCACAGAAAGAACCTCATTATTTCTCATCCTGATACTTTAATTGAATTGAGATTTGTATAAGATTGAAGCAAACAAGTGAACACACACACACACACACACACACACACACATACATACACCTAGAAATGCATACTACAAATTCCTGCTCATTCTATTTTTTTTGTTTTTGTCCTACAACTTCTGTTGGTCTTGGGAAAGGGGGCACTCTGTCCCACCAAGTGCCCCAGGGTCCTCGCTGTTTCCCTGAGATTCCTGTGCTTGGAGGAGGCCAGGAAGGCCTTGAGTTTGCTCGGTGGAGAGTCTCACCAGCCAAGAAGGCTGAGAGCAGAGGAAGGCATCCAGGCAGCTGGGGGCCAGGACCCAGTGGATCAGCAGCTGATCCAACAGGTTGTAATCGATAAAGGTTACAAAGTCTATGATGAAGTCTTGGCCCCCCTTGTTCTGGGACAGCAGGGTCTCACTGTCACTCAGGTGAGTGGACAGTGTATCTGTATACTGAGCAAATAATCCAAGAAACTGGATTCTAGGAAGAAGAGCATGATACCAGGACTGGAAGAAGACTCATTAACAACCTGTGATACTCAACTGATACAACCTTGCTTGCTGAAAGTGCAGAGGATTTAAAATGCTCATAGAGATCAAAGACCACATCCTTCATTATGGATTACACCTCAGTGTAAAGAAAACAAAACTCTTCACCAGTAAATAACCAATAAATAACATCATGATAAATGGGGAAAAAACTGAAGTTGTCAAAGTTGTCAAAGACTTCATTTTGCTTGGATCTACAATCAAGTCTCACAGAAGCAGTAATCATGAAATCAAGTGACATATTGCATTAGGAACATCTGCTGACAATACCTCTTTAAAACAGAAGTACAACCAGAATCCTCCCTGGAAGCCAGGATGGCCAGACTTAATCTCTCATACTTTGGGCATATTGTCAGGAGGGACCAGTTCCCAGAAGGATAACATGTTTGGTAAAGTGGAGGATTGGAGAAAAAGAGGAAGACCCCCAATGAGATGGATTGGCATAGGGGTGGCCAATGTAGCAACGATTGTGAGGTTGACGCAGGGCCGGGCATTGTTTTGTTCTGTTGTACATAGGGTTGCTATGAGTCAGTACCCACTTGGTGTCACTTAACAACAACACTGATGCAGTAGGACTTTTATTTTGGTATTCAGTCATCCAATCTACTCATTTATTGGGGTTGACAGATTCCTATTAAGAATTTACATAAGGCAGGAGAATTTTCTAACTCGTCTATCGCATTGACTTTTAGCAATTGCTATCTCTTATGACCATGGGAAACCAGGTTACCATACCATTTCACAGAAATTCTTTTTCTTTTTTTTTTATGCCTCAGACCCTACATGTAGAGTAGAATTCAGAGTTTCTGATAGCTGAGGCTGTTTGCTAACCAATTAACTGACTTGACCTTTCTTGGCTTTTTTAAAGGAAGAAAAAAACAAACTGTACTTTGGTTTTATGATGTACTTTTTGTTATTTGAACTTACCAAACTTAGAATTTTTGGAAGCAAATTGATAACTGGCAATTACTGACCGGGTGCTTTAATTTTCATGGCGCTGATTTTTAAATACAAAGAACTGTCATATCTGGAAGAGACTCTGGACATCACTTAGGCCATCCTCTTGATTTTATAAATCAGAAGATTAAGGTTTACGTAGATTAAATGACTTATAGGATCAGTCCTAGACTGCAAATCACAGGATGGCAGTTCAGACCCACAGCTGCCCCTTGGAAAGCCCATGCAGGGTTGCTAGGAGAGCAACATTAAGAGGTGGATAGGAGAGCTGAAACTGACTCCGTGGCACTTAAGAACAATATAGCAACAATACAAATATACAAAGTTCAGATTAACTGACATAATGTTTGCTCTCAAAATTGATTTTCAGTAGGTTCAAGACCCAGGAAAGCTATTTTGCAAACACAACCCTGATATATATAAACTCTTACCAATTAAATTACACTAAAAAAAAAAAAAAAAAAAAAAAGCCAATATAAGGGATACACCCCACACGTTCTAGTTTCTACCTTGACGCTAGAGAGCTATTCTTTGAATTGCTCCTATAGCGCAGAATTGAAAAAGGGGTTTGAAGATGTGTCAGTGATCACTGGCCTCAGTATTCCTAGAGCAAGGCACAGCGTCTAAGGATACATCAAACTAGATGGAGAGATGTATTATTAATTAGTCTCTCAGAACACATTTCAACGGAATTGGATGTCACGTCATTACTTTTTAATGTGTACACATTTAAGTAAAAGCAAACAAACTCTAAAAGCATACAATGTATTAAAAGAAAAGGTCCAGATGCTTCTATTGGATGGAACTTGAAATGAGGAGAGAGACGAAAAATGAGGTATTGAGAGAAAATAACCTTTTCCT